TGGGAGGCGATGAGAAGGAGGAAGAAGAGGCAAAGGGTAATGTTGCTGCTCAGCAGAGATACTAGTGCTGCTGCTGGTGGTCGGGGGAGGTGCTGATGACCGCTGTTGCCACTATNGCTGATGAATTTGCAGAAGATGATGATGAGGATGAGGGTGATGACCAGGGACTGATGATGGAGGGGAAGAGGGAAGAGTTGTGAGATGAAGATGTGGATGATCTGAGACACTGATCACCCTCCGTGTGACAGAATACCAGCGATGATGATGTGGATGATAATGATGTTGATGAAGGTAGCTGGTGTGGTAGTGATGACAATTCTGGCGATGATCTCCTAACGATCTCCCCCTCCCGAAGATGACGATGACCACCACTTCTTCGGTGGCTCCTCATGAGCAGCCCTCCTGGCAGTGGACCCATGATGAAAATGGAGGATTCAAAATTGTGATGCACTTGTCTGCACAATGGTGCACCTCACAATTTGTTGTGCCTATGCACACACCGACCAAACACCGCTGAACCGTATTCCCCGCACACACGCACCAGAGAGAACGAAAGAGAGTGCACACAAGTGCTGGGCGATTCCACCGAGTGCTGGTGCACAGAGTGCACTGGCTGGCTAGCTGAGGCGAAAGGCCAAAGGAAGGAGAGGACGTGAAGAACGGGGGCAAATTGAATCGCCAGCGAGATGGACACAGGCAGGCACAGAGGAATTGGTTAGCAGTAGAGGAAGGGGGCAAACTAACGATGATGATGATGATGATCACAAAACAAGAGAGTGAACAGCGAACTGATGCTGGTCACACTATCGGCGGTGATGGTGGTGGTTGCCCAGAGGCGCCGATGTTGATGATGTTGTTGTTGTTATCGTCTTCGTCTTCGCTGAGGCAGTCGTTGCCGAGTTGAGGCGGCAGTGAAGAAGTGATGATGCCGATGATGATTGAAAACACACAAACCGGCACTTTGCACCGGGGCTGAGAGATGCTGCAGAATACAACAACACACAGACGGCAACCTCCGATTGGCGCCCAACGATTCGGCTGCAAAGCTTTTTTGTTTAGCAGCGGCGGCGGCAGTCGTCTGTTGTGGGCACACTGGGCGAAGTGCGAGGAGACACTGCTGCGAGACGAGAGGAGGCACACAAAGGCGAGTTCACTTCTGTTGCCAATGTCTCCTTCTCTCCAGGCAGTTCTCTTTCTCCTCCTGTGGTGGTGGTGGTGGTGGTGGTAGCAGCTGTGGTCGGTCGGTCGGGGGAATGCTCGCACACAGGCGGAGAGAAAGTTCAGTGCCAGAGCCGCTGACTACGATGATGATGGGCAGATCGGCGACGACGACCATAATCATCAGCGGTGGTGGTGGTGGTGGTAGTGGTAGAGGCTCATGCGGTCGTCGCCGCCATATCAGTGGCCAGAGCAGTGGTGGTGGTGGTGGACGCGTGCGCGTCCACCGCAGCTATCTGGCCACTGATACGCTCCTTCAGGCCCAGCCTGCAAGAGAGAGAGAGAGAGAGAGAGAGAGAAAGAGCACGTCCACACTCTTGGGCGCTTCCGGGGCCTAGGCTAGGGCCTAAGGCTGCGCGCGGGAACTTTGAGTGTCAGTCTTTGAGTGTCAGTGTTTACTTTGCCATCAGGTCTTGACCTGCTTCTCTGGGTCCGGGGAATGGGGAGACAGAGATGCACACTCTACTTCTAAACAGCTTTCTACTTGGGACTAAGGTATTCAGTAGACGGGCGACGTGTAGAGGGTAATGTGGCGGACCAGCGTCTGTATGGCCACCCCGATCTGCAGGTGGACGCGCACCAGCTCCGCCTTCAGCCCCTCTCGGGCCTTCTTCGCCTCCAGCAGCGGCGAGGAGTCGGTCATCCGCAGCGAGTACTCCTCCAGCGCCTGCTTCGTCGCCCGGTCCTCCTCTCCCAGCTCCGCCAGCCGAGCGGCCTTCTCCGCCGTCTCGCCGTGGACGGCCTGGAAGGCGGCTCGGAGCCGTTCCGCGCGCTCCCGCACCGTCGCCCACTCGGCGAGGATGGTGGCGCAGTTGGAGCGCAGGTAGGCTGGGGGGAAATGGTTTAGGTTGTTGGGTTTATTAAAGCCTAAAAACTACTCACCCTCCTTGGCGTCAATCTTCTCCAGTGCCGCCCGTATCTCCCCGCTGAGGGCGCCCACCAGCGCCGCCGTCTGCCCGTAGACGCCCTTGATGGTGGCGTTCTGGGCGGTGGCGGCGGCGTAGTGCAGCCGCCACTCGGTGTCAATGCTGCTGGAGCCGTTCATACCAGCTCGACCGCCCCCGAGCATACTCTGCCCCAGCAGGCGGGCGTTCAGCTGCGGCAGAATGCGCTCCAGCTCCAGCTTCCACTCGGTGAGGTCGGTGCTGGCGGTGATCATCGCCAGCTTCTTCTCGTTCTCTGCCTGCTGTCCAAAGGGGTCGTCGTCCCAGCCGTCGTCTTCACCGGCGACAAACATTCCATCGGGGCCCATCATCTCCTCGTCGATGATGTAGTCGGCGAACTCCTCCTCCAGCTCGATCTCGTCGTCCTCGATGTCGTTGTCGAGCTCATCTTCTCCCCCTTCTTCATCGCCTCCGTCCACCGGGCTTCCGTCGGCGTTGAGGAAGCGGACGGTGACCAGGTTCGAAGAGCCACGTTCAGTCGCAGTTGGCAGCTCCTTCAGGCAGACCTTGTCGACGAGGCGGCCTAGCAGGCCGATCACCTCGCCGCCAAAGCCGGCCTTAAACTTCGCTCGGGCGTTGGCAAAGGCCGAGATGTCCACGTGAGCGCCGGCCGCATTCAGAATGCGATCAATCGTCAGGTTCGGGTCGTCGAAGCTGTCCACCTTGAAGTCGGCCCGTTCGTTTAGACGATTCAGCAGAAACGAGGCAAGGCAGGTGAAGGCGAAGAACTGCTGCCCTCCTGCCCCCTGGCTCCCACCTGGCCGGCAGAAGTAGTACCGATTGATGGGCGGACACTTGTAGGCGCTGACGAAGGCCTTGCTGTAGTCGAGGGCGAGGAGCTTCGCCTGCAGCTCGGCCATCGCCTGGTAGGTGGCCACAAAGTCGAGGCTGCCGCCGTCATCAGTTGAGGAGGAGGAGTCAGTGGTTAGCTTGCTGATGGCGCTCATGATCGCTGCTTGAAGACGATAGTTTTGAAAGTTTTGAAGATGGAAGGGCTTCAAAAGGGTAGTGTGGATTTGTTGACGCAACAAAATAGAACTCCGCCGTTTCCAAGGCAACCGAAGCGAAATCGAAGCAAAGTCGCACTTTCACTGAACTGATCCAGCTAAAGTCGGCAATGATTATGGTGATTTTTTATCTTCGCAAAAGAAGGGGCGATAATTTGTTGCCCTCTAACTCTTGATGGACATTATCTTCATCAAACGAAAAAAATCTT